GTAGTGCAAGCTGAATCCTTGGGTTCCTTTAAATCAGAGCTAGATAAGATTTTAACAACTCTGAGCTATTAGTTAAGTTCTCCCCAAGCGAGCTTGATGGGCCGAATGGCCTCCTCTCGTTTGTATATTTCTTATGTTCTTATGTTCTAGATGAGTAGGCAATGAAATGAGTTTTCTTGAGAACTTCCTATAGTTAAGTAATTGTATTCCCTGGGCAATGATAGTGATAGCCAAAAAAAGCAGTTTCAATTTCCAAATCAATTCAGTTTTATATGTATAGTACATTTTCACAACATTACATTGTCTCAAAGCACTTTACATTATCCCAGCCCAAAGTCCGCAGTGAGCAAGCCAGAGGTGACAGCGACAAGGAAAATGTCCTAGTAGGAAGAAACCTTGTGAGGAACCAGACTCAAAGGGGGAGTCCATCCTCTAGGGGCCATAAAAGAAGTTAGATATACAAAATGACAAATTTGTCATTTTAAGATGCAAGTTAAAATGCATAGGGCAGGCAGGTGATGGTGATGGTGCTGCTTATGATGGCAAGATGAGCAGTTATACATCAGCAGGGCAGGCAGGAGAGACGTCACAGGCAGGAGGGCACGCAGGAGAGATGTCACAGGCAGGAGGGCAGGTAGGCCGAAAGGACGTCACAAGTAGTAGGGGCTTCACAGGCAGCATGGTAGACAGAATATCTTGATTTTTTTTTTTCTCCCAACTGCTCTGGCATGACACTGCATAATAATGCATCCCCAATTGTAGATGCTATGTGCCAGTCAAAGTTTAAAGGTGAAGATGTGGATTTACCTCTGATAGTTGCAGTCATGCTGGCCCTGTGTGCAAGCTAGTTCTTTCTTTCTTTCTCTCTTTCCTTCTTTTTTTAGGACATTTTGTGGAGCTGATCGAATTTAGTGCAGCAGCAAGCTGTTGCCATTCAACACATTTTTAATATTTTATGATTCAACTTTATTATCATTGCACAAAGGACAAGTACTCCAACAACAAAATGCAGTTTGACATTTAATTCAAAAGTGCAAAATACTGCTAGAGTACTAGAATCAGTTGTTCAACATACATATGTGATAAATAAATAATTTGAAAATGTACATCTATACATTGCCCCCCACATTTTGTCATGCCTCTACCTCGTAGTGTTAAAAATTAATCTATTCAGCTATTGTCGAAAAGGCTTGATTTGTGTGTTATATGAACAAGCAGCTCATTTACATTGATCATTTTTGGCTGTTTGGGGATAGCAACTGGGCAGGATCTTAGGCTCGTGTACGTACACACATTTACAAGATAGGTCCAGCATTTCCAAGGGGAAATGTGCATACACCAGGTATAAATCCTAATTATTGTGTGCACATGGAGTTTTTTTCTTTTTCCATTTCATGCATACACCTTTTTTTCCGATGAAATTTATAGAGGGTTGAGGCCCTGGATCCCTGAACTCTGGTAGGGAAGTGACTTTAGTTATACAGTTTATGTGGCTGTTACGGTAAATATTATGTCATTGAAAATGTTGTTCATAGTATACAGTACATGGGAAAGTAATAAATAGAATATAAATATTTAGAATATATACTATTTGGACAAAACCATTGGGACACCTAATCAGGTATTTCATTAAGACCCATTGCCCCGAGTGTATAAAATCAAGCAGCCATGCAGTCAGGTTAACAACATTTGCAATAGAATGGGCCATCTTGAAGAGCTTAGTGAATTCAAGCGTGGTACTGTTATACGGTGCTACATTTGCAATAAGTCAGTTTGTGAAATTTCTTTCCTACTAGTTATTTCTCAATAAGTTGTAAGTGGAATTATTGCAAAGTTGAAACGTTTAAGGAGCGTGCGCTGATACAGCATGTTGCCATACCTGCCACAGAGATGAGAACCCAAGTGCAGCCATGGAGCAGGTGATACCTCAGTATCACACTAGTTCAAATGGAGTGCAATAGTGAAGTTTTTTCCAGTGACTGGAGTGCCAATCCAGCCACGAACCCCAAAATTGTTGAATCTGCTGGATTTTGAGGATCTGCTTGCAGGGCTGGATGTAGTTTAATGTCATACCCAGGACAAAACAGTTGCAGGTTAAGGGCCTTGCTCAAGTGCCCAACGGAGTAGAATCACTCCTGGCATTCATGGGATTCAAACCAGCAACCTTCCGATTGCCAGTATAGATCCCTAGCCTTAGAGCCACCACTCTGTGTTTAGAAAACCTTTAGCAACAAGAGAAACTCAGCCACGAAGTGGCAGACCACATAAAGTGACATAGCAGAGTCGCATGGTGCGTAAAAGTCGCAAATGGTCTGTTAACTCAATAAATGCTTAGTTCCAGACTTCCTTTGGAATTAACCCCAAAACAATAACTGTGCACTGGGAGCTTCATGGAATAGGCCTGCAAGCCTCACATCACCAAGTGCCATGCCAAGCGTCAGATGGAGCATGTCACCACTGGACTCTGGATAAGTATAAATGTGTTCTGCGAAGTGACCAATCATGCTTCTCTGTTTGGCAGTCTGATGGACAAGTCTGGGTCTGGCGGATACTAAGAGAACGTTATCTGCCTGACTGCATTGTGCCAACTATAAAGTTTGCTGGAGGAGGGATTATAGTATGTGGTTTGGTTGTTTTTTCAGGGGTTGGGCTAGGCCCCTTAGTTCTAGTGAAGGGGACTATTAATGCTTCATCATACCAAGACAATTTGGACAATTCTATGCTTCCAACTTTTGGAACAGTTTGGGGAAGGCCCTTTTCTATTCCATCATGACTGTGCCCCAGTGCACAAAGCAAGGTCCATAAAGACATGGCTGGGTTTGGTATGGAAGAACTTGTCAGGGCTCTGTGCAGGCCAGTCCTGAACCCCATTGAACACCTTTGGGATAACTGAAATTGCAACCCAGGCCAACACCAATGCCTGACCTCACAGATGTTCTTTTGGATAAATGGGCAAAAATTCCCACAGACACACTCCAAAATCTTGTGCCTTCACAGAAGAGTGGCAACTGTTAAAGATGGAATGGGGAGCTTTGGAATGCCTATGCATTTAGAATGGTGTGTCATAAAAGTTCCTGTAGGTGTAATACTTGAATACCCAATACTTAGTAATTTCGTGGCATAGACATTCACAGAGAAATGTTGTTTTCAACCGAATTGGTAGGGAAGGATGTACAAATTAATAAATAAAATGAATATAAAATAAAATGAAAATAAATGAATAGGTGTAGTTTCAGAGTTGTGTGTCACTAGGTCTTGGAGCATTCAGGTAAAATCATATCTGTTGGCTTTTATATTTCCAGTTGATTAATCCAGTCATTCTTGAAATTGTAGAACCTGGGCGTTGTGGGAAGAGTAAGGGTTAAATGGAGGGGGGGGGGGGCTGGGGGGGTGTCCATTCTGATATAGGTGTCTATGAGACATTTATGCAGTGTCCAACCATGATGCTTAATTGGTAATTGAGTGGAATACTAAATGGTATTATTGGACTGGTATGAATGTTGTACAGTATTGATTTTGTGGCACTTTTTAATATGTGTTTTTTCTATTTTCTGCTCAGATTCAGGGTAAAGTTTTCAGTTTTTTTTAATATTGATTACATTTTTCATTTGGCAGGAAGAGGAAGTTAGCAAGTACACACCCACATACATAAAATGTCATCTTCAAGCCCTCACTGTCCTCTTTTGGGAACAACAGGATTTAATAGTTTATTATGGCAATTTTGTGCAAAAATATATTCTTTATGGAGGAGAAAAAATAATTGCTGGACCTCAGGAGGACAGTGTATTTCATGTTATATGACTATTTGTAACGAACGGAATGGATGGCACAAAGCTTGTTTTTTTTCAGGGAGCAGTTGGATGTTGAACTTAATGAGAAGGAAAAGCTACGTGGTGACCTGGAGAAGGCAGGCAAATTGAAGACCAAACTAACCACAGAGGTGGATGAATACCTTTCAGCCATTGAGCACAACTACAACCTCAACATCAGGTAACATGGCAACATCTACTTTACTCAGTGTTTCTGTCTCTCATTATCCAAACCCCTAATTTTCTGTTTGTTTATAGAAAACTTGAACAGGAATATAGCCAAAAGCTGGCAAGTGTGAGGGCTGGATTGACCAAAGAGAGAGATATTATCCACCAACAGGCAACTCAGCAACATGAAGAACTTGATGGTGAAATTGAAAAAATTAAACAGGAAGCAACCTTGCTAAGAGAACGTCTTGCACTTGGTGCCAAGGTAAAGAGAATGTGTTTCTCTTGAAGAGGGAGAGTATCAATCAGCATATTTTAAGCAGTTTATAAAAAATTCTAAGTTCTTAAGGAATTCATGAATTCCTAAGTAAATGCAATTAAAAGTACCATTTTGTTCCAGTTTGTCCAAATGGGTGTGTTGTGTGAAGCATATATGCTCGTATTTATACAAAATCAGAAAGAGACAAAGTGCATTATGGAACCTTTTGTGTTTGTTTTGTTTTTAGGAGAACAGCCGATTGGAAGCCCAGCTTTTGGATAGCACAGAAAAACTTTTGGAGACTGAAAATCTGGTCTGTAAATTGCAGACAAAACTAGACAGCATTCTTGAAGAAAAAGTAAGACTAAGAGGTTCTCATATATTTCACTAAAATTGTTGCCAGTATCATTGGATTTTTCTCAGTGGGTTGATTATACAGTGAAATCCTGTTATAGTGGACTCGCTTATAACGGAATATAACCGACGAGGTCCGCTGGTCCCGGCCGTGTGCCTGTAAGAACATGCAGAAAAAGCAGTGGATATAGCAGACTCGCATATTCAATATTTCGCTTATAACGGACAAACAATTTGGTCCCCAGGGCCGCTTATAGCTGTAGTTTTGTTTGGCTATAACGGACATGCAGGCTCCGCCTACAAGGCGCCTGGCGTGCCGGTGATATCCAGCGCAGATACGTAGTCGGTATTATTAATAGTCACACATCTGGTCAGATAAAGTTGGATTATTGCATGCACAATATAATAATCTATACCAAAAGAGTGTCTGCTGGGGTGTGGCATGAGTAAATGGTGTCCTGTAGTTGTGTTCTGGGCATACAGCAACTCTGGATGTAACGGACTTTGTCAGGTCCCTTGAAGTTAATTATAACGGGATTTTACTGTATGTACATTTCCACCCATAGTTAAGTTTTTGGTCATAAGTATTTTCTGATGGTGTTTCCTCAGTTTAGTTATTGGGACCGTGGAAGTGCTGATTTTTTTCTACATGAAGAGCATCTTCGCCAAATATTTAGCAAGCATGAAGAACAATGTAGGGTAAGGTGTCCAAACCACACACCAAAGTTCTGCGACCATCTGAACACTCATATTCTTTTTCTTTGTTGTTTTTTTAACTTGTCTTGTAATTTTGTTTAAAACTTGCATTATTATTTGCTGTTGATGAAGAGTCCCCTTCACGTAAAGTGTTTTTGTGGTTTAGTGCAACATAGAAAAACTGATTAAATTGTTTAAATTGTTACCTGGTATTTGATATGTGACTTTTGAGATTCTCTGTTGTAATGCATACTGTATATATTCATCCAGTGAACCTTATGTGCTCATTTCTGTGTGTGCACTTATATAACAGGAAATGCAGGATCGTATCGATGAGCTTCAATCAGAACTGGAGAAATACCATGCACTGAAGAAGATCCCTCTCATTCACAATGTTGATATTAATATATCTGATATTTTTTCTGACCAAGGTAGTTTCCCATTCTTAAAAGATTAAAGTCAATATATGCGGAAGTAGTGTCTTTCTTTTTGACCTCTGATTTAGTTGTAAGAACAAGTTCTACGCTCATGTTACAAGCCTCATTGTTCAATTTAGATTTGGATTTGATCTTGTCGGTGTACATTCATAATTACAAATGACATGTATCTAACTGTAATGTGAAGGCATATGGCACACATGTGCATATTAATCCATTTTTGTATGTCATCTATGTCACAAACAACAAAAAGTATCTTATTTGTGAGACATGGTATTTTAAAAATCGACAAAATGGAGGCTCTATTAGCTAATGTATGCATCACATTTTGTTCTGGAGGACAGCAGACAGTTCATTAGCTGTACATGATCAAGTTGAAAAGGTGAAAGAAAGGCAGATGGCTGGCTTTTGCTGTTTTCACAGCTATTAATGGGACTGTTGAAGGTCTCGTCCATTGTTGTTTTGCCGTGCTGCCAGTGCTGGCTGATGACAACAGGGCCCAGCACATGTGTATAGGCCAAATTCTGATCTGACTGTTCATGTTGCTTGGCCATGAATCGGATATATATCTGATCTAGGAGCGCATATGAAAATGACTGAAATGTAATTTGAAAAGATCACATTTCTTTGTCCACACAGACCTGAAAACATCAGATTTGTGTCACATTAATGCAAAAACTCAGATGTGAGTCACTTCAGCCTGATAAGTCCATGTACGTGAGTACATGGACTTCATTTTTTGATTTTAGATGGGAAAAACAAAATTAAAAAAAAATGGTAATTTTCACTACTTTTACTGGATTATTTGCAAAGGGAAAATTGGAAAATGGTTTGTTTTGCTTGGTTGTGTATGATACTCCCCATACTGCCCCATACTCCGTTAGGAGGGGGGGTGGTGGGTTATAGGTCCATCTATTATTGGCCAGGTACATTGCAAAGACCACTCCTCCCATGACATCGCTACAGAATAAGTGTTTCGAGTCATCCTGACTGCAGGGGTACCTAAAAGTTTTTGTTAAAGCTGCACTTGAGAATTTTATAATTTATAAATTATTTCAAGCTTCCTAATCCAGCAGCCTAGCTCTAAACAGTTAAAGTGAATTCCCCTGCTACAGCAATCAATATAGCAAACAGAATATTCATATAAAAAGACATCATACAAGGATTAAGTGTTATAGCTGAAACAGAGTACGATCATTTTTCTCACTACGGTGAAGACTTAGTGTGCTTATTGATCTCTTATAATGATCAATAATGGATACAGCATTTCATTTTGCCCATGTGGTCTATCCCATCTTATAAGAGATGAATGGCAATCATAGTATATCATTGCTTCAAAATCATAATGATGCAAATTTATACTATAACTACTACTACAACAAATAATAATAATAATAATAAACTCTCAGGTACCCCAGCAGTCAGGGCTGATTCAACTCTTATTATTATTATCTCATGTATTATCTTATGTATGTCATGTACCTGGCTAATAACAGATGGCACACCTATAACCCAACCCACCTCCAGTCAAACCAAATACAAGGCGTTTTCTGACTTCTTTGAACACACACCAATGAATACAAAACAAACCATTTTCCCATTTTCCAATTTTCCCTTTATGATTAGTCTAGTAACATTAGTGAAAATGACCCATTCTTCATTTTAGTTTTTTTCCAACTAAAATCGAAAAACATATTATACTGATGTACACTGACCCGGATAATGTGAACTTAGTCTAATTGCCTCAGAGTATAACATGGGTAAGTTATACTACCTCAGTCCAAAAAACAGCAATTATTAAATTTTAAGTGTCGATTTCTTTGTGTAAGGTTTATATTCAGGAGAATGTCAGCCATTAAACATGAGTCTGGAAGCTGAAATACTTGTAGAAAACCTAAAAGAGCAGCACCTGGAAGAGATTAAGAAACTCAGAGACCAGCTTGAAAGTGAGGTAAAGCCATTTTTGTGTTATGAATGGAAGACCTTCATTGACAATACTGATTCAACTACTTTTGCATAATATTTTTATTCTGTTTCATAGATTAGTGAATTCCAACAACAAGTAAACAAGCAAAGAATACTCCATGAAGAGCAACAAAAGCTTCTGTCACTCAAATGCCAAGAGGAGGTCCAGGCCCTACAAGGAAATATGTTACAAATCCAGGATAGAGCTGATGAGCTCCAAAGTCAAGTGAACCAAAAAGAAATGTTGCAGATTCAGCTAGAACGCAGTCAAGAAAAAGTGAAGCAACATGAAGAGGAAATGAGTGTTATCAAGAAGCAGCTTTCAGATACCCAAGCCTACTCTAATGAGTTGAAGGAAAAGTTGAAGACACTGGAACTTTTTCAGTCCAGAATGGTGCAGAACTTTGTGGAGGAAAAGGAAGAACTTCTGAGGATTTATGAAGAGAGAACTATACAAGTGGAGCAACATCACAAGGAAAGTATTCAGGCATTGATAAAAGTGGAAAGGGAAAAGTTGCAGGCAGTAAAAGGAGAGATGGAGCGAAGACTGATAGCTGAGTGGGACAGGGAAAAGGCTCAGTTACAAGAAACCCATGAACATTTGCTTCGGGTTAAATTAGAGGAAGAGAGGCAGAAGCTAAGAAGGAAACTCAAAGAGGAATGGGAACATGAGAAGGCCCTGCTGGAGGAGCAGCATGCGGGGGTTACCCAAGTATTCTTGGATAAGGAAAGACTCAGACTTTTGAGTGAGCAAAAACAGGCCGAAAGGAAACTTGTGTATCACAGGGAGAAAGACAGAGCAGCAGGAGAGGAGGAGAGAATACAACAGCAGGATAGCCCCTGGGAAGCCATGCAAGAAATAATTCCTGCATACAATGAAGAGAGGAAGTGGCTGGGTGGCCTTCTGAACAAATTCTGGGATGAAACTCCAGAGGCTAGGTAAAAGGGGTGCTGCTGGGGGAGGGAAGGTCTAGTGGGCATATCACTTTTAGCATGCTACATTTTTATTTTATTTTAATAGAAATCCAGACCAGTTTTGGATTGAACATTACATTACATTATATTTTGGATTGAGCATTAAAAAAATCTATTTTTATGTATTATGTAGGGAGCCATTTTCCCCAGAGTACAGGGAGGTAGGAATGTAATTCTTTGGAGCCAAACAGGCCATCTCAGTCCTATCAGGCTGATTTTCAAACTTGAGTAGGAGGGGAAGAGAAAACAAGAAAATGACGTTTTATAGAATTGCAGAGAAAGAAAAAGGTGTGCATCATTTGGGGACTGCTGAAAAAGCAAGAGCTACTTTTATGGTTATAGGATATTTAAAATGAGTGGGAAACTTAGCACTTCACATACAACAGAGACAAAGCTGAGTGTAACAACCAGCACAACAGACATGAAAACAAGTTTAATAACATAGATGACCATTTGGAAATTGGAGAAGTATCTTGCAAATGCATCAGCTGCTGATATATGTACTTGAGGACCTCAAACTGGAGAACATTTTGATTGAACAAGGCAAAAAAAGGAATTACCTTGCTTGAGAAGCAGGTTGATAAAAACGATAAGTTGTTGGAAGTGACTAAAACTGGAATTCACGAAAAAGAGCTAGAAATGTGTAGTAGTAGAAATATGAAATATTTATGAAACAGAATATATACCGATTGCTTCATTAAATTCAAATTAAGTTGCTGCAGACAAATGGAAATGTTGCCTAGTTCACAAGTAAGTAATACACTCACCTAAAGGATTATTGGGAACACCATACTAATATGGTGTTTGACCCCCTTTCGCCTTCAGAACTGCCTTAATTCTACGTGGCATTGATTCAACAAGGTGCTGAAAGCATTCTATAGAAATGTTGGCC